CTGCCCGGCCGCGGGTGGGGCGAGAGGGCCGAGGAAGGAGAGGCCGGGGCAGGGGTCCTGCTGGGGCACAGCAGGGCACCCCTGGGCTCCGCAGAGTGACAGTAGGAAACGGTGGATGTGTCCCGTGCCTAGGTGAGTACGGCCTTCGAAGGGAAGGCTTCCCGCTCTCACAGGTGACTCCTCACTGCAGGCAGGACTCGTGAGGCCACGGAGCGGGCGCTCCTCGGTGGGTGCCGTCATCGCACAACAGCCCGCAGGACGTGCTTGTAGGCCACGGTGTCAGCCCAGAGGCTGGATCCATCTGGCACACCTAGAAGAAGCCTGTGCTGTGGGAAGGAGGAAGGACAGATTTGCTTTGCTCACAGCAGCTTGTATGATGCTATGTATAAACATACCGTAGCGTTCACCACATTGAAGTTTCCTTAAGTGGGAAAAAAAAAAAAGAAAAGTGCCTTTATTTCCCTACTGCCAGCCAGATAAGAAGATAGTGTGAATAATTTAAGCCTTTTCTTCGTTCATCACAAGGAGATCATAGTTAAAGAGTAAAGTTAGGAAACAGTATCTTCTCCTGCTACTTTATGAAAAGGAAGATTTTAGCTCTGGTAGTTTAGGAGTGAGTTACCCAGAACTGGGAGCAGTGAAACCCCAAACAGTTGTGAGTTGCTCAGTGTCAGTTTTAGGAAGATGCTTCTTCATTAACAAAGGGAATTGCCTCAAGCAGTGGGCCACTAGTCATAGTGGTGTGGATAAACATTGGTGAAAAGCATACATTTCCCTATATGTAGTGAATGCATATGTGTATTGTGTGTCCTAACAATTGAAGCAGTAAATAAAAAAGCTGATAGAGTGAAGAAATTTTAATTTTGTGAATAGAAATGAACCAATGTGGATGGCAATTGGTGGAGAAAGTTGCTTTTTTTATACACAATAGTACTTCTTTTCCTGGGTTACAAAAAGGAATTAAGGATTTTGCTTACATTTAAAAGGCACTTAAATTTCTCAGATAGAAAATATTCGACTGGAACTACATATTCCTTCAAATCTGTCTTAAAGGCATTGCAACAGTGACATTTATTTTAGGATAAGCAGCTCTTCTTATGCACCAAACAAATAATTTTTTCACATTCACTCTAAAGTAGACAGTGTTTTTCCTCCCAGATTATAACTGAGGGTAGATAAATACCCCAACCACCTCTTATTTTAAGTAATAAGTTTTGCCAACAAAACTTGCTGTGTGCTAGATGTAATGAGGAGCTCATGAATATGAATCCATTTGTGAAGAGTGCTTTATTGTTCCCCAGATAATTGACATGTTGCCTGAGGTGTACAATTCTTCAGGAGAATTTTCTGATTCAATTAAAGAGAATGGAAAAGCCTTAACAAACTTGTTTATCTGGTTTGTCTGTTTACCTGTTCATCATTTCAGATCCAAGGGGCATAGTTTTTCCCATCACTTTGGAACTTCACATTGACATCCACAGTATCATGGGAACCATACCAGGAGTACCTGTCTTCTTGCACACTGAAAGCAACTTCTTGCACAAAAAGCCTTTCCTTCATTGTCAGTTGAAATACAGTGAGCTGTAAGTTTCCAAATTACCACATGCTCTTCATAAGCAGACAAGACCTGAATGGTTCGAATAAAAGTCAAGCCAGGAAGAAAATAAACTAAAACTGAGCCTTTTCAAAAGGAAAATCTGTTTCCACTTATGTGAAGGAAGTCCTTAAAGAAAAGATCTAATCTTTTTTAACTCACTGCTCCAGAAATATACCAAGAAGTACTTCAAGGCCTTCTGTTCTACTATTTTAGGTTCATAGATGTTGGTAAGTATAACAGATACTAGCATTTCCTCTGTCAGTGCAGACTTCCAGAATATCTTTACCACTCACCAAAAAAACCCTGACCAAACCCAAAAAAACATCAGCACATTAAAATCTCTTATGTAAATATGAAATTGAACTACTCTAGTTTTTTGTTTGTTTGTTGTTTGTTTTGTTTTTTTTATAGTACATGTAGTTAAGCTCAGATGCATTGTGTTGATTTCCCTCGGAAAAAGCTATCCTGAGCCAAAAACTGTCCTATGCCCTTTGTTCACCTCTTACATTGTTAGTTCTAGTTGGCTATCTCAGTGTAAAAATGTGTGTTGTTAGTCAGCAGCAGTAAACCACAGCAAATGAGCACCTGTTTCTTCTGGAGATTTTTACGTATCTCAGATGGTACAAAATAAATTAGTAAAGCAAAATGTCCTGGTTGCAGATGGGATGGAGTTAATTTTCTTTATAGTAACTGGTACAGTGCTGGATTTAGTATGAGAATAACGTTGACAACAGGCTGAAGTTTTAGTTAGGTTTGAGGTCTTCTTACTCTACATCAAGGACGTTTCACCTTCCTATGCTCTGCTAGTGAGGATGTACACAAGAATGAAGGCGAACATGGCCAGGACAGCTGACCCAAACTGTCCAAAGGGACATTTCATACCACAGAACATCAAGTTGGCCATGAGGTGCCAATGGCTGCTGGGGGACAGGCTGGGCATCAGTCAGTAGGTGGTAAAAAATTGTATTGTGCATCATTTGTTTCTCCTGGGTTTCATTTCTCTCTTCTTTCCCTTACAATTATTATTAGTAGTAATGTCTAATTGTTATTGTCTTGTATATTTTTTTTCAATTATTATTTTTTTTAATCTCAGCCCATGAGGTTTCCTTTTTCTATCCATTTTTTTCCTCACTGAGGCAGGGAGTGGGGGAGTGAGTGAGCAGCTGCTGGGACTTACTTGCTACCTGGGGTTAAACCCCAACACAGTGTGTTATCTTAATTCAATCCTAAATGTCTCACTTGACTGTAGACTGCAAGAAGTACTGCTCACCAAAACTCTGAAGTTAAAGAGCAAGAAGATTAATTACAGAAATTACTGCAAATCCCAAAGGCTTGCCAGACCAAACTTTATTGTAACCACATAGTTGCTATGAAAAGATGTGAACAAAAAAATTTAATTGTGCCGGTATGGGCATAGCAATGAACATGATTTCCTAATAAGTCTGACTTATGAAAGTATGAAAAATAATCTCCAGTCATGTAAAGATATTCTTACATCTTAATATGGATTTTTTTATATTTAGTAATTACAAATATTATGCATAATTATTTAATATTAAATGTAACAAATGTTAAATTGTGTAACGAGGCAATTAATAGAACTGGTCCAAATTTGAAAAAAGATAGAAAAAAGCCAAAAAAGACCAAAGTGACAGCAAACTATTTCTGGGCACAACTAGACAGCACTTTAGCTTTTGTTATTTTTTTTAATTTAAAAAAGAACAGAGAATGAGAAAATACCCAGATATCTAATGGAGTACACACTTGTAAAATCTTTGTGAAGAAATAGATTGGAATTTCCAGGAATGTCTATAGATGGAACATAAGTTTCTAATGCTTCCAAATTCAGGTTCCCTAGGCCTCAAAAGGTATAGCAATGGAAAAATAAGTTTGCTTTCCTGGAAATCTTTTTTGTGTAGTAAGGGAGATGTGAGAATTTTCATCAATAGTTTTTGTCTGAAAGGAATGATCTGATTTTTCTTTGAGGAATCTTAAAATATTTAAACCCGCACATATACACAAACATATTCATATGTCTGTGAACGAGAAGGGTGACATGATTAACAGTGTGCAAGAACTTCTGAACTCTACTGTTATTTTTTTCAAATAAACATGTATGGGAGTAGATGACTCATCCTGCAAAGTCCAGACTCATTGGTTTCAAACACTTCCATTGGAACTCCCTTGTCTGGGCTTTGGAGTCTTGGCAATATTTATTTATTTCTGTATGAGTCAGAAGTTCTGAATAATGTTTCTGCTTAGTTGACTACAGAAAATAAATCCCCCAAAAAACTTGGAGAATCAGATGTCAGGAAAAAGGAGAAAGACAGAAAGAAAGAAAAAATAAAAGGACATGGATAGCAAGATGCCCAGACTTAATAGAGATGGAAAATTCACAGGTTTGGTTAGTCAGTAAGTTAACATACACCAACTCTCAGAACTGAAAAACTATTGAAAATTGTAACAAAAATTAATGCATAAATAGAGGCAGAAACAATACTTTCACTGAAGAGTAGAAAGGTAAAAACATTTGATAAGCTCACATTTCTGGCAAAAAGTCAAGTAGCAAAGGAAGTATCAGCCAAAGATGAGAAAGCTCCTACCAAGTTTTGTAGATGTTTAAACAGGTATCTAGTTAATAGCAAATGACAAACCACAGACCTTGAGACATCTAGTTCAGCCCTTTTTCCAGGGAAGAACCAATTGTCCCTACAACACTCCTGGCCAGTGTTTGTCAACCTGTTCTAAAAGTACTTTGTTGATGGAAATCAAGGGATTTCATATGGGCTGTTCATTGTTTCACCCATTATTCTCCTCATATCCTACCACCAAAGGAATTTATTCCTTTCCTCTGTGCAATTACCTACAAAATTACTTGAGCACTATTTTCATCTCTCACCATCAGTCATCTCTACACTAAGGCACCTGAGTTCCTTCAGTCTTTTTCCACAAACTGTCATTTCTTGACACAGTGTCAATAACCATGAAGTCACCACTCAGGGGACAGAGGGACCTTGGAAGAAGAGTTCTACGAGCACTGTGTCTGGGTTCTGGCTTCTATCTATTTGACAGCTTCAAAAAGTCCCATGAGCCTTTTTTTTTTTTTTCCCTTGTTAACTCTCTTTTCTTTCCAAGAGAATCTCAAATTCCCTACAATATGTCCTGAGTAATACTGTTCAGTTCAAATGATGTCTGGAGTGTGAAAAATAGCATCAACATCAGGTTTATAGTAAGCTGAGAATAGGTAATGATTAGTTTAGGAGGTCTTTTGCGGAAAAATGTGACAGTGTATGACTACTGATCTACTGACTACTTTGCTAGGAGAAGAAGGGTCAGTTGGTAGGGCACCAAAGTATTGATGCTATTAGATATGGAATTTTAAAAGGAAAATTTTACCTCATTATGTGAAGAGAATTATGCTGCCAGGCCTCATAATATGTGTATAATTCCATTCTGCAAAAAGCTTCCTGGCTTGCAAGGATAAGATCCATAGTGAATAAGGTACAAAAGTGAAAAGCAAGATTGCTGCATGGTCTAATTATGATTAAGGTTGTAAAAATGGATTCTAGTCTTCAGAAAGAAGTTACAGCCAAGATGGAAGTTTTAGGTTACCAGGCAATTTAAAATACATGTTCACTTCCATCTGTACCATAGAGTGCTGGTCTGATTTTAAGGTGAATACACTATTTGTGTGCCTTAGTTTTCCATTTGTAATGACTCACCATGAGTCATGAGTGGATGACTCAGAGATTGTGGACAGTACAGCTCCTATGGATTGAAATCAGAGCCCGCCTGACAGGTACTGATATGGATTTTCCTGCAATGCACAGGACTCCAAATGACAAGCCATGCTCGTGCAGTGCAGTTCATGCAGGGCTGCTATAATTTCCTTTTCTGCCTGAGACTGATTTCAGGATATCCATATTGTTATAACCTTTACACATCTGAAAAATGTAGTACTTCTTTTCCTGATTTTTTTCATCTGTGGTGTTCTTCAGGCAATTAGATGAGCTACAGTTAGAGTATTCACATTTTTCATGGAACGTAATACAGTGGATATTCTAGTACAACATAGATCATAGTAGTACAGCATAGAACTGTAGTTGTAAAAAAATAAAACTGACTTCATTTTCAATAAGCTTTGCGTCATTTTAATGTACTAACTGTGCCCTTTTAAATTACTGACTATTGCCATTACTTCTTGCCTTTAAATTTTGAGATTACCTCTGCCAGCTCTGCAGTTCTGTAAGTATTTCAGATCTTGTGACTTAACTTTGGTATCTTTATCTACTATAACACCCATAATCATCTAAATACCACTATACTTCCTTCCTAAAAGTTAAAAAAATATAATTGAAAAGTGAACGTTCTTCAAAGACACAATTACTTCTATTTGCTGAATAACTTAATTGTATGTGTCTACCATGTGGTTCACAGCTTTACAAAAGCAAAAAAAAAAGCAGATGGTTGTTCATGTCCTCTCCCTGTTACCACATACAAGTGAGAATCTCTTCCTGAATATGGACTTGCCCCAGCTCAGAAGAAAAGTTTGGAAAGTTCTTGCTTCCATCAGACTAACCAAGAGCCTCCAGTTTATTCCAGTACTCCAAAATCTTATATCATTAGTTGTCATTTACATTAAATACAAGATGAAATGAAAAACCACCCAAATATAAAAATACTAATTTTTGGAAACTAGATATAAAATTAAACATTGCATCATCCCAACTAGTTACTTCATTGCACTGATACACATCTATCCTTGGCTGTGGACTTATATATGAATGGTACTAAATAAGTAACTGGGCAAACATTTGTTAAATTTACCTGTTTGGGTCCTAAGCAATGCACAGCAATCTCCACTGTTAGCAGGAAAGTGTGTGATCTATTTCTATACCTACTGCTGGGTGATAGGTGCAATCCCCCATGTACAGCCCACTCCTGCTAGTTACAAAATGCTACTCCGTGGTTGTGATGTCCAGGCTTCCCAAAGGTCTGCAAGAAAGTGCATCATGCTTAATTATAAACTGCCATAACACAGAACTAATTTCTAAGTAATTGAACTTTCGATATTACATTTGTAGCTGAAGCCATTTCCAAATATGAGATGGAACAAAAAACACAGGTAGCACTGGCCTCTAACTGCATTACAATTGGATTTAAGTCATTTCTTACAATGGGGCATTCTCGAGCTTCCATTAGCTGTGTGAATGACCTCTAATCTGTATTGTAGAAAAAGCCTTCATACAGCAGCACTGCCATCTCCTGCTTGCTTGCTTCTATGCAGGCAAGCACGAGGTCTGTGCTGCAAAGCAGCCACAGTGAAGGTACAGTTTTCTGCTACTAGGTAAGTGAGGAAGTAGCATTTTCTAATACTAAGGGATAACACGTTTGGAGTTCTGCAGATGGCAAGAGTTTTCACAGGTGAATTTTTTTAAGCACAGAAAAGTACTTCAGCCATTTGTCCAGGATTTCTGATAAACCACATCCCAGCCAAACAATAGCTCAAAATGTGTACATTTGTGTACTTGTGCTGTACCCAAGAAATACATTCTACCTGTTGAATATACTTCCATAGAATTGATCTGTTCACAAACCAAAACATTTGAAAAGATCTAAAATATTCCCTGTAGTCTGCATAGGTGCTGCAAGTCCAAAGCATGAATGACTCATGCCAGTCATATCAGAATACTGCTTTATTGCTTATCATAAGCTGGGACAATTTATGCTTCTGAGAATATTTCTACACATTTACACTGCCTGGTGCAGGGTCTCTTGCAGTCAGCCATGTGCCCACTGAACTCTCTCTGCTGTGCCAAGGGGTTATAGATATGGATCTTATAGCTCAAACCTGCTCCTGCTTAGGGATTCGGTTCTGGTACTGACATCACCTCAAACTTGACCAAGCACTGCTGCAGACTCAGTTTATTGCCACCAGTGATGCCACTTCAAACCAGCCATGTCTGTCCCACACATTGCTACACGCTGGGCTCAGAAATGCCAGAGGATGTGACACTTCTGCTTTTGCTTCTGCTTTGGAATACAGCTAGATAAGAGACTAGGACAGAGGTTTCTACCAGATTGTTCTTGAACCTGGAAAGCTTCCCAAACAAGAACCTACCGTGAATCATACAGGATGATAAAAATGCTCCTGGTTACTTGAATTCTTTTTTTGGACAATCATATTCAATACAAAGAGAACAGAAAATTGCATCCAAAACAACAAAATATGGAATGATTGGTAAGGAACATAAGTGGATATAAATGATAGCTGCCTAAGACAGATTTTCCCTTCCCACAGAATCACAAAGTTTTATTATTCTCATTCTTCTCTCCTTTGGAGGCATATTTATTGTTAAGAACAAATTAAGAGCTATTGCAGACATTAGCAGTAATGAAAAACGGTTCTGTTGCTTACTAGCCCAAATCTCCATCAGGGTAAAAAGGTAGAAGAAAGTCACATAAACCATTTAGTTGGTGAGATCTCAGTTCACACTCAGTTAATTGGCCTGTTTTGCAGGATTTAATCTGGCAACATAAGAACCTTGAAATAAATCTCTTAGCTATGATTAGAGATGAAGGAGAGATTAGCACAGGCAGGAGAGTTGAAGCAGTTTTCTCCATTTCCATTGGTGAGTCAATGTGAAGACAGAGCAACTACAGAGACATCAGGAAATCATTCAGTCATCCTCAGGATGTCCAATTCAGGTATTTTCTCCCTTGTATTCAGCAAGTTACCAGTTTCAAGATCCTGTTCATTCCTCTGAAGCAGGTTAGTGGTTTCTTTTATAATGTCATAAATAGCAATGTATGTTTAGCTAAAATAGCAGACTTTAGCAAAAGCAGTAAGATAAGATGCGATTTATGACAAAATTGCAAAATTTCTTTGAACAATTCATATCTAATAAGTAAATATTATAAATAAATAGCTGTGCTATGTCTTGTTCAATATAGTTAGGGGAATTTGATAGCAAAGGAACATCTAGGTGATATCTTGGAAGCAAATTGTACGGTGATGGAAGCTGTGTTAAAAGTTAGATAAATTTGAATTTGATAAGGAAAACTTGAGAAGAGTATTGATAGTAAGGGAGAGATTTCCACATTTATTTGGCTTCTTTTGCTGAAAGAAGTATTTCTCCCTTTATAAGAATAAAATCCAGTTTGCTCTCCCATAGCTGGGGAAGACATTTCTGTGTGTATATGATTCATAACTCTGGAGTGGTTTACATGCAAAGGTTTCTAAGAACTATGACAGAGGCGTTAGATCCACTGAAATGCTGGGAGCATTTGTAGCTTTACACTAATCTGCTACCAAGTATGACTTGGAGAAGAACAAACACACATTGCAGAGCAAGACTAACACTTTTAGCTCATAATTGCAGTTCCACTCCTTCAGTTGGAAAAACTTTCTTCATCATGCTAAAAAATGATGCTACGCACCTGTTTGTGTGTTGCAAGAGAGCTTACACTAATAAATGTATTCAATACTTTATTAAACAGGGAAAGAATAATGTTAGGATGCACTTACAAAATTCTTTATGATGTGAAGAGTCTTATTATCTGAAATAAACTCAGTAAACTGTTAGCATAGGTGAAAAACTTAACATACTTATGTTATTGTCCATGCAGTAGGCTAGGGACAAGGAACAGAATAGGTAACTTGCTCTTCTGGCCTGGACTTGAGGCAGTCAAGGTTTCATGACAAGCACAGTGTTTCCCAAAGATCAATCCCAAGCATATCAGTGATAGCCAGGGTCAGTCAACAAGTGGTCTTTGAACTACAACAACCAGTCATTCCATCCCTTTCCTCCGGCACTAAGACTCCATGAAATCACAGACCCTATGCTCCTAGTGTGTTAGATAAATGTCAATGTTCCATGAAATCTGATCCTACAAACAGTACTAAAAATTGACAAAAGAACCTCATGAGAATTTCTGGAGACAAGGAATTATTAGAATATTTCTTGCACAGAAACTTTTTAAACTTCAAGCATCTGAAAATGGGGGATGGAACTATATCAGAATAGCTCCATGAGATTGAATGTATTCCTGCTTCTGGAACTCAACTTCAAATTTCTTTACGGCTAGAATATGACAAAGTCTCAAATCTCTCTGGAGTAGATGAATTTTAAAAAGAGTAGAACTATTGACAACTTTTGTCCAAATGTTAAAAAAAAATATATTTAGCAAGTAGGGTGTTTTCAGTGATACCATAACTAAATATGTGCTGAACAATTTCAAGGCATTGCTCAAATACATATATGTGTTTCACAGAAACAGTGAGTGATACATTCATATGTGCTGGCTATTGAACATGAACTGTGTATCAGGAATGAGCAAATTTCACATCAGATTCTCTCTGTTGTGAGCTCTGAGTCCTGAGTATCGGGCAAATAAACCTGTTAGCAGCCATCATTTACAGCTATTTAAGGTCAAGTCACGAACTGCTTAACTGGTGAAGCAATCAGAGATACTGTCTCCAGGCTTAACAGGCTTATTCAGGCTGTCAGCTGAATTTGTAGGGAGGCTTAATTCTGTACCAGCAGAGCGTGATTCCTTCAAATGAGGTCTGAACAATACTGGAGAAGAATGATGTGAAGCAAGTGTTATAATTTTATGACTATTCTCTGGACATCTCTGTAAGGTGATTATACTATACTATTGTAACAATACAATCACAATCAATATTCAGCCATAACTGATAATCATACTTAACAATCATTAAAATTAGGGCCGTGTTTTTAAACTCAGAAAGCTTCTGGCCAACACCTTTGGAAATAGATTGGTAAGGAAAAATACTGTGCATTTAGCACACTATTCTGTGTATTGTACAAAAGATACACAGAGCTGAATAGCTTTGAGGGGAATTAGTTTTCTCTGTAAATGCAGGAGAAAATAAATCCAACTTGAATTCATTAGATCTCACAGGCCTTAAAATCTTAATGTATGAAGATATTTATCCATACCCTAATATGAATCACACAACCTATTCCTTGCCTGTACAAATAGAACTGATTATTTCCGACGTAAACACATGAAGACGTTGGCATTCCATTACCTTTTTAAACTGCACTCTGCAACAATCTGCTTACCCAATGCTAAGCTTCACTGCAGCTGGGGATCCTTTACCAGGTCAGTGTAGCCCTACTTCTCTCCAGCTTGTCTGTCTGCAGGTGTTTTTCAAGTTGTTTTAGCTGATACAAGTTTTATTCAGTAATAGCATCCACTAACTTAGAAAATATTATGCTGCTTATACCTCTCTATTTCCCCAGATTCATAGGATTACATTTTACTTTTTATAAATATCATTGTATTAGTGTAATTAAATGACTGTATAATTATGTAATGCAGAATTTTACAGTATAAAATCACTCTAATGAGAATTGCAAAATTAGGAACAACACAAGCAAGTTTTTTGGAAAGAAAAAAAGGCTGTATGTATGTTTGTCTTGTTTATTCAACTTTTGAACACAAACCTGACCATAACACAGGAATCAAATACCTATAATTGTTAAACAACAACAACAAAAAAAGCAACAAGTAAAAGGGAAAGACACTGGGAGCCTTCTGAAGGGAAAGACACAGACCAGTTCACTTTTAGGTATCAGATCCACACAGAAAATTGGTCTTGACAAAAATTCATAGGAATCCAGAGTCTCTGTTCATACTATTCACTTGTTTTTAATTGCTCTAATTGGTCCTTAGAGTTTTTATTTTTTTTTTTTTATTCACACTGTTATGAAACTTAAGCAATAAGTTTCACTAGGGCACTCCCTTGGCAGGACTCAGAGTGCATGAGGCTGTACAGGAAGTTCTCTTGTAGGCTCTATAAATACCTGGTCAAAGAGACAGTAATCTCTTTCCCTCTTCTTCAGATTTCTACTGCATGCCTTGGATCCATGCTCCTAATCAGCTTACAAGCTTCCCTTGACCTACGCTTCCTTTCCTAATGCACGTCTGACTATGGCTGTCCTCAAAGTCAAATTCACCAAAACCAAGAGGGACAAGCTGGCTCAGATCTTATGGATCCTCAACTGGGTTTCTGTAGTGAGTGGGATCATTCTCTTCAGTCTTGGCCTCTTTCTGAAAATAGAGATCAAGAAGCGCAATGAAGTGATGGCAAAAGGGGACATCAACTCTGTCCCCAACATGCTGATCTCTGTAGGGGTCATAGCATGTATCATCAATTTTCTGGGTGGCAAAATTTGCTACGACTGCTCAGATGCAAACAAGTTTTCCCGATGGAAACTAGTAATGCTGCCATACATCGTATGTACCTTTTGTTTTACCTTCTGCATCCTGGTGGGTGCTCTCATGTGCTACACCATGAGGAACGAGCTGGAAGAGTCTCTCTATCTGGGACTGAGGGATGCTATTAAGTTCTATAAAGACACAGACATACCTGGGCGGTGTTTCTTAAAGAAAACAGTGGATTTGTTACAAATTGGATTCCGTTGCTGTGGAAACAATGGCTTTAGAGACTGGTTTGAAATTCAATGGGTATCTCCTCGTTATCTGAATATGGCTTCCAAGGAGGTTTTGGAGTAAGTATTTATCAGTTATAACAAAAAAATCTAGGAGAAAAACTCTTTTGAAACTGGAAAGCCCTTTTTTCTTGACCTTTGTATTTTAATTCAAAAAATGAAGAATGACCAGATTACTCACAAAATATGCTAAATAGATGCACAGTCAAAAGTTGCCTTTTTCTAAGCCTTTAGGGATGCTCAGCAAAGCAAAGATGTATCTCCTTTTTCAGTGTGGTGAATTAGCTACCTCAAAATTTTTATTTCATTTATAGTGAGCTGAAAACAGTAAGAAAAGAGGGATTGTACTATAAGTACATTGCGCAGTCAGTTCTAAGCACTGAAACACCCTTCTTCAAGGTATTAGACTTTGCAATACCAAGTTCAAATCTCTATGTTCACATCTGAGAAACTGCCAAACCACATATACTGCATAAAAAAGCAGAAATCCCCCCTTTCTTTATGGTGGTGGCACTTCACATGATGTGCTGACTGTGAAAGTATATGCTCAAAAAGAAGAGTGGTAATACAGATAAGGTAAAAATTTAAAACTCAAAAGTAGACAATCCAGTCTGTAATCATTCTTCTAAAGCTGAAAAAGGCCTTCACTGACAAGAGAGTAGTAGTTTTGTATTCCCAGGAAAGACAAATGCAAAGAATTTGCATTTTGTTGAACTCAAAAATCAGTGACAAAGCCAGAGGAAGGCAGGCCAAAGGTCTTAATTTTACAGAATTGGCAATTTGAAACTGCCATAATAGCAAAGCTATCTAGAGAGCTGCAAATATACCAGAGGGCAGGACCTAGGAGAATACAAACAAGAGGGCATCAGCATACAGAAGACACTTGTCTGTGGTATTGAAGCAATACAAGCATTCTCAAGAGCAAAGTTATAAAGTGTCACACAGAACAGACTGAACCAGAGCTGTTTAAATTCTCATTTCTATGCTGAAAAGTGACATGGCAACCAAGACAGTGCCAGGAATTTAAGAGCAGTAGCTTAGTGTGAGTAAACTTAAAAGTAAAATATATTGCCTTTTATTTCCTTGAGAGGCAGAAACAGCAATGTTTTACCCAGGGTCTTAATTAAGCTCTGTTTTCTTCTGTAGGCTCACCTGTGCTCTGCCATTGTTTTGAGAACACACTGCCAGTTAGCTTTTGCTCCATTTAGACAGAAGGGGACAGTGAAATGTGTGTGAGGAAAGTAATTTCTGAATTTCTTCTGCTGTGGATAGATGGCTTAATTTCATCTTGATTGGCAGAATCCAAGTTGGTGCTGTATAACAAAATTATACCATGACTTCCAAAAATCTGTTCATGAAAGATCAGATATGAAATCATTGGAAGCAAAGCCCAGCTGGTAATGTTCTGAAAGGATGGAGAAGGAATCAATCTTTCTTGGTTTGAACTTGTACTCTGTATCAGTTAGTAGTCTGTAGACCAAGAGGCAAAGAGGTGAGACCTGACATACTGTGAATTCACATGTAACCTTCTCAAAACTGAACTTTTCAAACTCCTGAAAAACCCTCTTCCACCCCACCCCCTCTTCTACAGCTCTATTGCCAACACCACAATTTGAGAAGGCATGGAAACAGTCAGTGGGGATTGGCAGGAACATGAGGCAGGTTACGGCAGTACAATGCTAGCACTGCTTTGGTTGGCTAAAACTTAACATCTTTGCTCAAAAGCCGATTTTTGCTTTACAATAACTTTGAATTGCAACAGCAAATAGCAGTGAATGTCTTGCTCCACCAACTCTTTTACTGAGGTCTTCCTTTCTAACAGTACCAAGATACTATTAAATACCAAGATACAATTAAATAATTATTAAATTTTCCACCCTCAGAGGAAACACAGTGGCAGGAAGATACAACCCAAGTCTAGAAACTGCTACTGTTGGCAGTAGAAAGAGGATTCCTCTTTATAACACATCTGGAACAGAAGAGAGTATTTAAATTGATGCTTGGGATCAAAAGAAAAGCTTAAGACCCAGTTTAAGAGATGGAGTACTATATTGGGGTCATCAAATATTTATAATACCCTGAAACATAGAGAACATTTTGCCAGCCCAGGTAAAATCTTTCCTTTCACGATGTGCCAATCTTCCTCTCTGCGAGCTTTCTTTTCTCCTTCCACATTGGAGCCCTCTGGTTTGTGCCTCTCTGGCTCCTTTCCCTTCCAGTGCCTAATTCTGCCTATGCCCACAGCATGGCTCACACACTTCAGTCTACTTTCAGTGGATTATTTGGACTCTCTTACATTGATTCCATTCTGCTGCCATCACCAGAGATATGACGGCCACAAAATAAAAAGCTAGGCTTGAAAATGGAGGAAAATTCATGCCTATCCCAGTCCTAAGTGGGAAATACAGACTAACTTCCTGGTTTACCTGGAAAGATCTTTGAGTAAAAATGTTTTTGAGAGAATTTTAAGTAAAACAAAACACACTACAACCCAAATAAAATAGAGAGGAAGAAAAGGACAAGAAACAAAAAAAAGGGGTTGTGTTTAGTAGGCTCACAGCAATAAAATAAAAGCAATTATTCTGCAATCAAAGAACTGCCACAAATACTAAGCTTCCTAGCAGCTTATGTTTCATTGGAAGGTTACATTTAATCCCAAATTCCAAATCAAAACTGGACCACACTGTTTCTGCTCCTTCTCTTTACCTGATGAGCTTCTTGTAATGATTTCCTTCCCTCTCATTTAGATCAGCTGTAGTGGAACAGAAAAATATTACTTGCAAACATTAATAAATTAATAAGTTTTGGAAAGTATTAGCAAATTTACTATTGGCAAATAGTGAAAGCTGGGTATCTAAGCGAAAGCTGTCTTTCATGTTTTCTGGCCCCCTTTACAGAAGAGAGGCCTGGACTTGATAAACCAGGGCATGGTTTTCACCCATGGGGCTGTCTCAGAAAATCAGCCTTTTCCACTGAGCATGAAAATAGGTAAATGCTTAAAAGCTGCTTCCCCAAGGAGTGAGAGTGTCTCTCAGCATCTTAGATACTGTCCAGTTTCTGGAAAATCTCTTTCTCTGAAGAAAATGCATGCCAAGGATTCACTTAACCTCCAGAACATCTTGGTTAATTTGAGACTGTGTTCTCTTCCCATCCTGTGATTTTTTTTCCTATACCTCTTTATCTTTCCTCTTTCACTACTTGTTTTCCTCCTGATCTTATAAAGGAGGGAAAGGAATGACTTTTAGCAATAAATTTCCTAAACTTACAGAAAGTGAAGTTACAAGAAGTAGAAACTCCCTTGTGAATTAGTCTCAAAACATGTGCTGGACGAGCCCTTGCAATGGGTACAGTGACAAAAGTCCAGTGGATGATTTCCAGTGGCTCCTATGGCATACAAAGTTGTTCTTGTATTAGGATCTCTCTCATGGAATGATTGTGTAGAAAAATCAGTCCAGAAGTAGTGAAACACAGGATTTCCAGGGATATAGTTTCCATTCAAATTCCACCAAGATAAACAAGTTCAAAAATTATTTTTAGTATTCAGCACAAAGATACCTAAAAAAGGCAACATCTCCCCAGACACTGAACTCGCATCTTGTGGCACAGAATGAAGAACCACGAGGTACTGTGCTATACCACACTTAATTACAGCAAATCAAATATTCAGCTTTCCAGCAGTAAACAACTTTTCCAGCTGAAAGTATATCCTCATTTTTCTTTTGTTATATTGGAGAAGCCTACATTGCAGCAGAGTTATGTTACTTCCTTTTCTAAAATCACAGGCACTGCCTGCTGCTGACACCAGGTTTGTAATGCCCAGACTTTGTCCTCTTGCAGCCGTCTGAAGAGCAACGTTGATGGGAAGTTCTTGGTGGATGGAGTTCCCTTCAGTTGCTGCAACCCCAGCTCCCCACGGCCCTGCATCCAGTACCAGCTGACAAACAACAGTGCTCACTACAACTACGATTTCCTGACAGAAGAGCTCAATATCTGGATGAAGGGGTGCAGAGAGGCCCTGCTGGATTACTACACCGGTATCATGAGATCCATTGGCATTGCAGCATTACTTATTTGGTTGTTCGAGGTAAGTCTCATAAAAATGGTCTCTATCAGATTAATCAGTCTTCTGTCTCTCTAGGACAGGAAACGATGATGGTGTAACACATGAGAAGTGCCTCAGCATCCAGTATAAAGTCAACAAGCACTTCAGGAATGTTGCAGGGTTTTCTTTAGTAAAGACAACTTTCCCAAAGTCCACAGAGCAGAAACAAATCTTGTTGAGGATAAGAACTATGAGAAACATGTATATAATTCTGTATATTTATAGAACTTTTTCAACAGAATATAGCATATTCCCTGATGTATTTATGGGATCAGATACAGGATGATGCATACAGTGGTAGAACTGCAAGGAAATTTGGTGACAAGGTCTGGATGTTGTTTTAAGTCAGTTTTAACAAATATAAAAAATATGAGTAGGTCTTTTTATATTGTCTAGTTTCACCATATAGATAGTCTTTGCAATCGTGGCATATCATCCCTTTAGAAGTAGATTGTGCTGCTAGTTATGCAATCAAAATAAAGACATCAAAGGCAAGGTACACACCTGCAAAGTTGCAGTGTTCCTGCTGACATCTGTAAAGAGGAGTTCTCTCCATGTTGTCATCTGCAAGTAAACGACCCCCCCCCCCAATGGAACAAGGCTCCAAAACCATTTTCTTACCTTTTTAGTATGCTTCAGCTTTCTGATTATTGTGTAGGTATTAGCATTGTAATTAGAGTAGTTCACAACAGTCCTCAGGCAGTGGTAGGTGGGGTCATGCTGCCAGAAATAACAGGTCTCTAAAGAATGTGAAAAGCTGTGAGCCAGCTCTCTGTGCTCCCTTAAATACTGACAAGCTGATCTTGATTACAACAGAACTATGAAAGTGGGGCTTTTTCCTAAACTTAGACTTGAGCCTCTGTTATAGGCCATCCTTCTTAATTTTCATGCCTTGGCACATAGAGGACACATATGGCTTACACAGGAATGATTAAACCTCCTTCGAAGAAATATTGATTTAATCAATGTCACTGAGAAAATCCACTGAAATTAACATACTACAATTTTTTCTTTCCCAGTGACTGATGGTTCCATTAATTGATCATCCATTCTACATCAATTAGTTGCAGTCTCTGAGGCTAGAAGGTTCATGGCTAATTCTAGGTACTAATAGCATACAAGGGTAATTGTTACCTGAAGAATGAACAGAGAATCAATCCTTCTCTCCCTGCTATCTTTCTTTAAAAATGCAATTTATTGGAAAAGTGGTTAGGTATATTGCTAGGATAAAGAGTCTGTCTGCTTTACTCAGTTATGAAGCCTGTAAATACACAAGTCAGAAAGCAGTGATAGGACTGAGGCTGCAATTTCAACTGTTTAACCATTAACTGTTTGTTACAGCTCTCTGTACTGATTGGTGTCCGGTACCTACAAACAGCCATGAAGAATGTCCTTCTGCTAGGAGATCTGGAGGGTGAATCAGATGGTTGGTTACTAGAAAATAGTTTTGTGGAAACTGCCAAATACAACATCAACATCATTAAGAACCTCGGTAAAGCCAACCAGATCTCCACTGTCTCAGGCATGAACGACCCCAATATTAACGTTCCAAACACAGACTGTGACAAAACTAATATTACAACAAAATCTATCCCTGCAGCTAGGTAGGCAAATCTTCCAAGAAATGACATCACAAGTCTAGCTTTGCTCTATTACAGTCCTACAGTCACCAGATTTTATCTGGTAGGGGAAAAAAAAAGGTAGAAAAACTAGTAAAACAATTGAACAAACCACAGACTGGTAACAGCAGGTGAAATGCTGATACTTCCTTGGATGGATGTGTTTTTACTTGTGAAATCCCTGATTCTCAACACTGCACAAGACTTCTGGAATGTCCCCCACTTTCTCTCCTTTACTTAAAATACTGGTCTGAATGCATCAGAATTATCATTAATCATAAGCAAATATTTCAGACAGGATGGGTCTACATGTACTAACATACAGATTAGTTGAACAGGTACCAGTTTAACAAAAACATGCATATATTACAGCCTACAATAACCCACCAGGTATGTGAAATGCAGGTGAAGGCAATGAAAGTTACCACAAAAGTATTTCACTTGTTTTTCCCAAAATGTCTGCAGTATCTTTTCATTTTCTCCTCTCCAATAGCTTAGAGAAAGCCAATTGCCCCACTTCCCTCAAAGTCAAAGGGTACAGCTGAAAGGAGTTCTCTGATTAATAACTGCCAGCTCATGCAGGGATATTTAAACTTCTAACTAGCATGTGATAGCACAAGTTTAAAAAAATGTAGCTACTTCCTGTGAAACAAACACTGATGATCCTAGATGCTTGAAAGCTCCTCATTTCATAAGTACTTACCACCCTGATCCAGGGGTGGGAAAATCACATATATTTGAAATCAATGAAGGCAGACACACTGACAGCTCACGCATCACACCCCTGGTACAATGCTCAGGAGCTTTGCTGATGTATGGAGTGAAAGCCTTCAATGCCCAAACCACCCCTAGTTACAGGGTGCCCTATGACTATAACTGATCATTAATAGTCAGCAGGAAAAAACTACCAATACAAACAGAGGTGGAAAGACCAAATAAAATATTTTACTTGCTACTGTTGTGAGTGCATTCTTTATGGATAATCAAGTAAAAGAAATTTTATCACTGAAATATTTAAAATAGAACCATTGCTGCTTTGGAAACTGTGCAGAGTAACAGTAAAAATTTCTTTACCTAAATACTGTTGTTTTCCATAACACTAGAAAAGGCAAAAATTATACTATAAGGATGTATCGTAAGTAAATGTAAATAAACCATAGTGTAATTCAAGCAGGATATGTGCATGACCATAACTTCAACTGGAATTCCTTCAATGCCTAACATGTTAGGCCTACACTTAGCTACATATTAAAACCCCTTCAAAGAGCTAGATTTCTAAGCTGAGACTTCCTTCCACAAGAATTGTTAATTCTTCCCTTTGCACTGCACTTACTTGTATACCTGCTTCTTGTCTTCATTGTAATAACTTTGCCCAGTGGGGGCTTAAAACTTAACTGGTGTGTAATTCCTTCAGCCATTTCTGAGAGCCCAAAGTACTTACCAGCAGCTCTATAATTAGGTGATACAGGCTGGAAAAGAATGAATACAGAAAGTTGTAGTTCCTTGAGAGATCAAGGACAAAGACAGTCATGTATTGCAAACTAATCAGATTTTGCATATGTTTTTTCTTTAAACTCAGTGTATTTTTTTGCAGATAAGTATGCCAAGTGTCACCTGTGTCAGTCAATAGCAGTCACTTCCTCAACTTGATTTCATTTCACTTTTCGTAAAACAGTCCTAGACCTCAATAACTACAGCTTGTAGAATTACAAGAACAGTGAGCTTGCTCTTTTGATAGCTTTCTAGTTTAATGGATTTGTCAAGAATCTGCTCTGAAAAAACAGATTTGGAAAGAAGAGTGAACTGATCATCCAGCCTCGGCATCTCTATCAAGACAAAGAAATGTCATCCAGAAGTTGTTGTAACCCATTACCACAAAGAGCAGAGGTTTAAGTATCCAGATGTATCCAGATATACAATTTTCTCCTGCCTCCACACAGCTCATTAACTTTCATATGAAGAAAACACATTTTACCATAGAAGATTAATTAGCATTTACCACTTTAACCTTTGTCTCTCAGCCAGCTGCCCCAAACTGCAGCAGTGGAATGTGATTGGTTTTGAAGTTAACTTAGTTTCAGCAAACATCTCACAGGGAAAAGTCCTTGTCTGACCTATTACCAGTAATTACTTAGTCATTACACTGTTAATTTCTATCCTGTCTAGGCATTCAGAGTCCCCACTGATACAGGTGCACCACAAAAAGACAATAGCTCATTTCACAGTATCAGGATAAAAATTACTTTCATTAATAAATGCTTTCTTCTTTGCTTTGTATTTATTGATTTCCTTAGAACACGGAAATGCTACACCCTACATATCCAGTTTCCTTTACAGCACCTGTAAACACAATAGTTTGGGTTTCCTGCAGTATTTAACACCAGAGGCACTGGATCAAGGAAACAAAGTCAGGTAGCAGCAAAGACTCCATCTTTAATTCTCAGTAATTTATAAAGACAGAGATGGCATTAGCAAGCCAAGCCTTTAAGCCGGGGCATCTGCTCAGATACAGAAATAAATACGATTTGGGGGACACTTCTTATCCTATTTGTTACTAATGCCTAATCTAGCCAGAATTTATAACAATACAGCAAATTCCAGAGTAAGGAACTCACCTATCTTCTTCATCAAGTTCTTAATTTAAAAAATGAAATAAACACTAATGTTGAGTTCCTGGTGAAGGCACAATGAGAGGCACTTTTCTTTAGAAATTGCATGTACAATGCTCTTCCTTTAAAGCTTTCTGATTGCCACTGAAAATACTTGCTCTATGTTGATCACAGAGAAAAAATTGTAAGAAATATAAGCGTGCATAACATTTAGGATTTTGTTAAAATGAATATAGTTCAAGCAGGAGCTCTGGTACCGTGGGATGAGTATCTCAATACTTGTACCCAAAGAGGCCAATATCTCACTCCAGGCACAATTAAGGAGGAGATATAAGGTTCTGCAGTCTGCTGAAAAAGACTAACCACACATCTTCACAAATATAGCAAGGACTTCAAATGATCATGAAATCCACAGCCCCCACTTTGTGCTTCACAACATTTTGCTGCAGCTCATTCACTCAAGCACGAAGCCTGGAAACCTCTTAAATCTGATGGACTGTAAGTTGTTTGACAACCTGTACTTATACAGTACAAACTATACTCCTTTTTTTGACACTGATCTCATGAACAATAGTCAGACAGCAATAAGAAAAGTCAGATCTCATTTTAATGTCTCATGTTGAACTCTCTACCTAGTCTCTTACTCACCATTAGACAAAATCACGAATATATCACCTCTTGGAATTTCAGCTTGCTCTCCATCAATGCAAATTCCCTTTATATAACTTCACTTTCATGTACGATTTTGACTGTACTGAATGCAACTTCAGAGAAATGTAGCTTGGATTAGAAATAACTCGATTTGAGACATGTGTAAGGAAGCATATTTTCATTATTAGCCATTTTTTTCCTGTATCAACCTTCCAATTTAGTCTACCTGCAAAATACTGATAAAAACAAAGAGATAAGACTGCACCACAGAAATGAAACAACTTCTATTTTTGATAAAATATCTTTGAACACCTTGTCAAGCAATAGGTTAGAAGAATCTAAGTAACAACTTAAATGTTGTATTATGAATCTGCCTAGTTTACACTGGAGATTATTCAAGGTTGTCTAGAAAATAAAGTGGATTTCAACCATAATGCAAAGCATATAATAGCAAAAATACTCCTCTATATATCTTTGTACATTAAGATTTTTATTACACAAGAATTAGTGCCGGGGCTTCTATTTTTTCCCTTAATTAACAGAATTCTTGTTCTAATTTTCTTCACAACATTTTTGCTAGCAGACTTCACTCTACCTCCACCTTTTAGCTTTTCAGGAATTAGTTTTTAAAAACCGTTTACTAAGAAGAAGCATAAAGAGGAACATCATTAACACCCAAATGGTGCCCAAAGCTTCAACAAAGCAGTGAGGACATGATGACACCTGTAACATAAAAAAGAGCAAGAAGTACTGGACATATCTATGTAAAAGATGTCTTGACTGTTTGCTTAGGTCTATAATAAACCACTTTTTTAAAAGTATGTATCACACAGCACATTAGACCAACAACACAAAGTTTCCCTTTCTAGAGGTTAAGTATCTGCCGAACAGTACAGCCAGTTCTTTGAGAAGATACAAAACCAGAAATGCACTCAACTAGGTCAGTTTCAGGGCACATAAATATTAAATTCTGTACTTAAGATTTCTTTTAGAAATTTAGGTAGACACTGAAGAAATCTGAATCTGAAAAATACTAGGATAAGTTTCAAGTGGCATGTATCTACATAAGAAAAAGCATTCCTTACAGGATGACCATGATACAGCCTACACAGATAACTGATAGTTTACCAACAATTTACCAGCTCTTCTCTTTTCCCATGCTGACAGACACCACTATGAGACTCTTATAAAATGAAATGTGAGGTGCCAAAGTGCCTTCAAATAAAAACTGAATAATCTAGGAGAAGTTACTTTATTTCCTTTTTAAATATACATATACAAGATATTTTATTTCAAAAGCACAAGAACATTATACAAGTTTCAAATTTACATTTTTGCAATTTAAGATACCAGTATGTGCATTATCAAATAACTTCTGTCAGCTTGGATGAAACAGAAATAAGTGGCATAAGCATCTTGCGGTCACTAAATACAGATTATACTCACAGTGAACAAAACTGCATAGTAATTTATGAAATGAAAGATGACCACGCTAGTCAGTGAATGATATGGGAGCCATTTGCAAAATTAGTATGTGCAAATGTACAGAAAGATGAAACTTTCCTCTCCCACTTCTTTTAACTACAAAGACTTCCAGAGCTTTAAAGGAGCTCACCTGCTCTTACCAGCTCCTGCCCTTGTATACTACAGTTCAGAGAAAAAAACAAAATAAAGTGATCTCACTGCATATTGGAAAATGGAAATTTTGTATCAGTGAAGTGCAAGATAACTGAAAGTTTTTGATAACTGAATATGTAAATATCAGAGGGAAATAGTAAGAGAATACAGGTTTGGTATCAACGAGGCATTTGCCAGCCTTAATTCAATATTTTTGTTGGTAAGCAGTGTTTTGATGATATACAAATCACCAGTGCATTCAAGTTTTCATTGCAACTGTTCTAAACTCAGTATGTGTCTCAAACATGTTTTAGAGAAGACTAACAGAATTAATGTTTGTCTTCAAAGAGTTTAATATACAGGTTTAAAATTCTGACAAAATCAAAATAAGGAAAATAATCTTAATTTCAAGAAATAGAATACCTGGAAAATATCCCAAAGCCAACTTTTTATATCACT